GGTTGCATCATTTATATCTCGGAGAAACACCGAACATAGCGTAGTCTCCCCTTGTCAGCATTATTTCCCTTGGTCGGCCTCTTCCCTCCATCACCCAGGGCCCGCTATTGTTATGATCCCGTGTCTAGGAATGCTTGCTACGTGTGTGGTTTTGGCGCTAGGCCACGATTTTTTTTTCTCTCTACCTTCACCTCCACCCCTGCACCCCTCCCCCATTCCTGTTTTCTTTTTAGTGCTTTTTTTTTTTCCTTCCCTCCTTTCTTCTTTTACTAGGATTAATACTCAGAACTGCACTGGAGTAACTGGCCCTGCTGTAGGAAAAATTAAGCGCGTTAACGGGTTCTGTTTCTTAGATGTTTACAAAGTTTCATCGGGCGGTAGATGTGGGCTAAAAACTCATTCATTTTCAACCCCCGGAAAAAAAATACCGGCGCTGAGATTTGAATTTTTGCACGTTTGTTTTAAGAGAAAAAAAAGTTTTCTGGCGTGTAGTAATTTTACTAACTGTTCCTCACCCCTTCTCTTTAATTAGATAATAAAAGCGTAAAGCCAACGTTGGTGGATTATCAGAAACCTATTTGTGTGTGGCTTTTGTATGAGTAATTTCGTTGTGTGTGGGTAGTCATCCAAATATCAGCACATATATACATATGTAACTTATATACATACATACAAATACATATATATATAGAGAGAGAGAGAGTGTGTATGGTATCAATGTTATCTCTTATCCATCCTTAACGACGTTCAACCCTCACCTAAGCTACTCATCCTTCTACCCCTACACCTAACCCAATGTGTTTCTGTCTCAAGATTCACATAAAAGTACGTTAGGTCTACAGAGGATACAGTTACATGCATAGAAAACAGAAGGTCCTGCGTGTTTCTTGTAACACATTGAACTCAAGTAATCAACGATCCTTTACCCCCCCCCCCCCTCACCTCTCCAGTCCATGTCGCCGTCTGCATGACAAGCATGTCGTCTCCCCATCGGTCCCAGGTTCTGAGCTTCACCTCGTGACAAGAGGCCTGTACTCCTGTCACAGGCCTGTACTCCTGTCAACCCCGTCCTTTAGACAGCCACGGACCATTCACGGCTGCTTACAGAAACCCATCGACCATTCATGTGGCTTACGCTCCTCACCCCCCCCCCCCCCCCCACCCCAACCCCGTCACTTCGACCATTCATGTGGCTTACGTTCCTTATCCCCCCCCCGTCACTCGACCATTCACGTGGCATATGCTCCACACACCCCCCCCCCTCCACCACTACCCTCTCACTCGACCATTCACTAAAGCTCCCCTCCAAATGTATGTACACCACTGTACACATTCTCTAAATACGTTAATTGTAATTAGGGTTAGGGTAGGCTGGTGCTACCATTGGGTTAATTCGTTTTCTGTAATCTAAACTTTCAATGGATGATGAGTGTGTTGATCAACAGACGAGCCTAACGGTTATGTACCCGTGCCATGGTGTTTACAGGTGTGTTGTTGTTGTTGTTCGGTTTCCCCGAATTCTCATCACGTGATCTTATTCAGCAGAAGATTATCTCAGAGTGAGAAACAACAGCCAATGATTACATCCCTTTGTTACATCCATTCAATTTAAAATCAATAGACTTTTAAAATTGTATGTGGTTTGTTTCCTCGACTTAGCTTAACCCTAAACACTACGCTAAATCTTTCGACTGTAATACTTTTTTTTTAGTTAATGTATTACTTAATATGACTATTTTTTCTCACTTAACGATTAGTAATAATCTACACAATAGTCGTGTGAACTATCCTTACCGTCCGCAATTGATTAGCCAGTTGTATCTTAATAGCATTCTTATTATAAAAATTGTTTCTGTTACCTCTATCCCTCCGTAAACAACTTTTAAGTTACCTATCGCTTTCCTCCATTTACCCCCCCCCCCCCCCCACCCCACCCTTTGATGAATTCAAATGACAGTCCTCACGTGCCAACCGTGGAATCCACGATTCCGATTTTATGACCCCCGTGGAGCCGGTGTCACATCTCGGGGTGACGTCCCCCCTTCACGTCTAGACCCACGGCTACCCCTCGCCCCGCCCAGACCCACGGGGGTTATGGTTGTCATACACCCCTAAAATAAAACACAAACGGAAGCTATGGGTGTCACGCAACCCCTAAAATGTAATACAAACAGGGGGGGTACACCTGTGTAACTAACCCACCGTACTTAGAACTGAGTCGTATTGTTTTTTTTTTATTTAAAAAAAAAAAAAAAGCTTCGCCGATTTGTTTCCAGGTAGACTTCAGGGGGAAATACTTTCGTTTATTTTTAAATTAGGGCAGGTCCTAGTGGGGTGAGAAGGGAAGCAATCCAAACTAAAGGGAGGGGATTCTTTCAAACCAGATAATTGACCCAAATACCTTCCATGTTTCTTACATTCGCTGAGATTTTTTTCTTTTCACTTGGTAATACACACCGATTATCATGACCTATTGATTAGTGCAGACCACCTATCTTGACCTATTGACTTTTTATCGATAATTTACGAAAACTTTGATCTTAATACTACTAATAATACAAGATAACTTAATCATGTCTGTGATCTAAACTCACTTATTAAATAGAAATCTCTGCATATACTGAGGTTTGTTTAAATAACTTTTTAAAAATACTTAATTAAATGTTTCCACATCCTAAACAACACTAAACGTCTTTACCCACCCCCGCCCCTATGGCCACACAACACCATCCTTATACCCCCACACCCACACAACACCAACATGTTTACACCTCCCCCAGCAAAGACTTCCGTGTATAATTAGTATATTGAATGGAAGCCCTGCTTTCACTTTACTAATGAAACCTTCACATTATGCCGATGTAAACATAGTGCTGGATCTGGACTTCTTGCAGCCTCGGCTATTGTGTGATTTCTCGCCTGTATTGTTTGATGTCACGGTGAACTACAGGTAACGTGCATAGTTAGGACTTCGTGGTGCAAGGTACTCATTGCCGTGTGTGGCTGACTGTGAGGTACTCACTGCCGTGTTTTGTTGGCTGTGAGGTACTCACTGCCGTCTTTGGCTGATTGTGAGGTACCTAGTACTTTCTGTTGCTAGCTGTGAAGTACTCAGTACACTATGTGGCTAGGTGTGAGGTGCTCACTCTGTGGTTATAAGGGAGGTACTCATAACCCTGTGTGGCTAGCTGTGGTGTACTATTCACTACCCTGTGTGGCTAACTGTGGTGCACTCACTACCCTGTGTGGCTAGCTGTGGTGTACTCACTACCCTGTGTGGCTATCTATCTGTGGTGTACTCACTACCCACATGTGGCTAGCTGTGGTGTACTCACTACCCACATGTGGCTAGCTGTGGTGTACTCACTACCCACATGTGGCTAGACGTAATGTGCCTACAAACGTGCGTGTACTGTAAAAATCCGACCCCAGCTCGCCTGTCACCCTCCCATCTAAACTAGAACACCTGTTTATTTTTCCTCCTCTCTTCAAGCTATGGTTTATCCACAAACAAATGGTGCTGAGTTTATTTTTCTTATAACCAAACTGCGGCTATTTCCGTGATCGACGTCTATTGTTAGGTTCAAAGAACATGTTAATTAACTCTGCTGGGGGGGGGGGGTTATCTGATTAACTTGTTTTCTGATGTTAACAGTTATATCAAGTAAATATAACCCAAACCTAACTGACGCTAAATACAGCTAACTAGTTCATTCATTTTTTTAATATAGTAACTTTCATTCGATTTATTTCTGTGTTACAGTTACGTGCAGTGAAAATAATAGGTATCTATAGCGAGTAAAAATCTCGAGCATATGTAAATCGGCCCTGTGTGCTCTTTATTCTTCAAGTAAACGATGTATGGTCTAGAATAGAAGTAAAATATCAAAGTTTTTTTTTTTAATATTTTTTTTTTAAGTTTTTTTTTTCCTTGCCTGTGTTAGACTTGTGCACATGCATGACGTAGTTTTACGCTACTCAGATTTCATTCGTTCACAAGTTCCAAAATGGCAGACACGGACAGGCCACATAGCCTTCAGTGTCATTGGGTAAACGGCTAATGCGTTTTTGTACCATTTGGCGTTTTTAAAAAAAACTCCTGCAATCGAGTTGTTCTATAGAGTAGTTGGCACAAAGCCTATTCTAGGCGATGTTTTTTTTTCAACACTGTATTGTGATAGAATTTCTAGTTTCCACATCGGTTTAAAAAAAACAACTAAGCATCACCATTTCTTTTTTGTATTTAATAAAAATGTAAAATGTGTTGCAAAAAAGTGTAATAGCCAATTAAAAAAACAACCACGTACCATTTTAATTTATATTAGATCTATTGTTTAGATGTATACAAAGTTTCCGAATGTTTGTTTTTCGACTAGGAAAGTCAACAATGTGCCCCCCCTACATCTGTTGGTCCCGGAAGTGCGTCAGAACTTGCCATGTGTGGTTTATTATTAGCGCTGTATGGTTTTTTTTTTAGAACTCAATTTTGTCAACAATCGTGTTCGCCTTTCAGTTGGAGGACTTGTGTTTATCACAACGAGACATTTGTAATGGGCCATCTGCTAGATTGTCTTAATTAAATAATGGTTGTTGAATGTTGGAATGTGTAATGGTTCCAAAATTTCAATTTTTTTTTTTTTTTTATATATATAATTTTAACCCCAAATACTGTTTTTTTTATTAAACCATTGTGTCCGAATGTTTAAAATATCTATATTTTTTTAAATGAATTTTTTTTTTACATCGCAACGTATGCATGTGTGCTGAAACGTTATTCCCCTTTACATGTTGATTATATCCCTTTAAATTATCCAGTTAAATAACTGTTTAGTCAAACATAAGATTATCTTAATAGCCTTTCAACTGCAACACTTTAAGCCTCTCTATCGAACAATGACTTCCTTCAAAAAAGATTGAATACGCTTTATTTCTTTTCGTTTTTTTTTTTCTTAGAAATAAAACTAAAAAAAAAAAAACAATCCTTATCTTTGTGTTGACAGAGGGGGGTCGGCTGGAGAAAGAGTTGTCCTACGTTAAAGATACCATCGGAGTGGGCAGCGGCACCAGCTTTGAGCTCATCATCCAGACGCCGAAGAAAGGGATCAGTCTGCTCAATATCGATTCCGTCATGCTTCATTATCAGGCCGTGTTGGCGGCCACCAAAATCAAAGTCGACATTGATGGAATGTAAGTAGTGCTTGGTTAAAGTAGATACTAATTGAATGTAAGCAGTGTTTGGATAGTCGACATTGATGGAATCTAAGTAGTACTTGGTTAAAGTCGACATTAAAGTAATGTAAGCTTTCATGGTTGTCTGATTGCAGCCCCTTCAAGTTAAATTAATATCTTACATTTAATTATGTACTGTAAATAATAGTCCGTTGTGTTTACACCATTTACACACTATTTACAAGACGTATCACTGACTTGCTGTCTGTGTCTGTTTTCAGAACCTGGGGATTCCGTGAAATTTGTTATGCTGTAGATTTTCCCACGTCGGAGTCATTCCTGGAACATGTAAGGACCTTTTGTTCTATTTGTGTTCTTGTATACTTAATAATGTTGTATGTGTTTTTTGTTGTATATCAGTATCAAACATCTGAAACTTCTATGTTGTACTTTCTAGTGCTGTACCATCATTGAGGTGTAACAGACACCAGCCAGCGTTGGCTGACCACACCTCTACCTTCCCCTGTCCTTAAAAACAGAAAAACTCTACTACACCAGACCCTATTGGTCAGCAGAACTCCATAAGATACTTATCATTTTTACAAGGGACCCCGGGGAGAGGTGATGGGAGGGGGGAGACAACGACCCCCCAGTACAGCTGTTACATGTTGCCTTCTGAAGTATTTTTCCCTCTTTTACGACCCGGCGTTCTGCACTGACATCCATCCAGCTTTATCGCCTTATATGTCAAATGTCTTCTCCGTTCATTGATAGCAGCGCTACGCACGCACACCCCCCCCCCCCCCCCCACACACACACACCACCACACTCCTTCTTTATAATGACCGTTCCCCATAACAAGTTAGTTTGTAAAAGTTTGAATGGCTTTCTCCGTGTCCTGACTGCAACTTCTTGAAGCTTCAGGCTTCCACTGTTGTGTTTTTTTTTAATGCTTTCAGTTTTTTTTTTATGCCTTGAAAAGGTGGGGGTACTGAAAGTTCTAACCGTTTGATGGAGGCTTATTTTACCTGCAACAGACACCTGATCAAGGTAGAGCAGATCAGTGCTAAAAGAACCCCCGCACCATTCCCAGTCTTTATTTGATTTTTTTAATGCATGTATTTATAGTTAATTTAACACTGGGGAAAGGGGGGGGGGGGTGTTAAACGTTAAGATAGAGCCAGGATTGCAACGCTTCCTTCGATGTTTAATCGGTCATGGCCGTTTCATTATAACACGGCTTAGAGAATGATTTAATTTTACGGTCTTGTGTATCGGTGTATTCATTGGTGTAACCCCCGGCTCAAACGTGATATGTTATGTAGACCATCTTATTGACGGTGCTCGTTTTCTGACAATGGTGGTTTCACCCGAACCTTGTCGAGTGCTGATCAGGGTTAAAACAAGGTTATAAGTAAGGCAGTGGATTTAGCAAACGTTTTGTCGAGTTTTGTTTTGTCTTTTTGCATTCTTAAAACTGAAATAATAAAATTGTGTTAATTAAGAGGACTAAATGATTAAACTGTTTTTTTGTTTTGCTGCTCTAGATGCTGAATGACATATTACCTTGTGTAATCATTACACCCATCGACTGCTTCTGGGAAGGTTCCAGACTGTTAGGACCAGACGTCCCCGTCATGACTGGGTAAGTGTAAACTTTGTTTTGTTGGTGTCGTGTTTTGTTGGCGTCGTGTTTTGTTGGCGTCGTGTTTTGTTGATGTCGTGTTTTGTTGGCGTCGTGTTTTGTTGGCGTCGTGTTTTGTCGCTGTTGTCAATGTTGCTGTTGTCTTGGTTGTTTTGTTGGCGTCGTGTTTGTTTGGCGTTGTCATTGTTGCTGTTGTCTTGGTGTTTGGTTGGCGTCGTGTTTTGTTGGCGTCGTGTTTTGTTGGCGTCGTGTTTTGCTGGTGTTATTGTTGCTGTTCTCTTGGTGTTTTGTTGGCGTTTATTGCTGTTGTCATTGTTGCTGTTGTCTCGACGTTTGTTGCCTTCATGTTTTATTGCTGTTTTCATTCTGTTATCTATTTTGCACTGACTTTGTATTACATTGCTGTTGGTGTTTTGTTGTTCAATATAAAACGAATTTAACTTGTCTACACAATATTTTTTAAAATTCTATTTCATGGGGAAAAAAAATTAAATCGTGTTTTAAAGTCATGTAGAGAGAAAGACACTCAATAGAATCGTGTGCGGTTGGTCTAAACTCTAGGGGCAGAAAGCGTGACCGCCGTGTTTCGGGCGGCATCAAGCCCCCTTTACAAGCCAAATTGTATAATCGGCTGATTGCTAGGCCACCGTTACAAGGTCACGCAGTATTATGTACCGCTGAACCCGACAAACGGTTTTAAATTGTGTCTCTTGTCGAGTGCGGAAGTAGGGGAGCTTACAAAGTTGCAAGACCCATCCATCCATCCACCCATCCATCTATCTACCCATTCATCCGTTCACCTACCAAGGCTTTCAGATATCCACGTATCCACTTCTTTCTTTCTCCCCTGTTTATCTTCACGGTGTATATCATTTTTCTTTTCACAACGTGTTTCCCTACATGTAATATAATCCAACACCCCCACCTCGGCTTAACACCCCCCCCCCCCCACACACACCGACACCCCACACCTCCCCGTTTAAAAAAAAAGATGCCGTCCCCTTCTAACTTTAGCAAACCCCACTAAGACGAGCCCCCAAGTGGAGATAACTTATTCTTCTAAATGTCTTACTTTTTTTTTCAAACCGCTTTTCTACGTATAGAGGCGAGGAGGGGAGCGAGGGGTGGTAGCAGGTATTTATCTTCATCAGAGAACAACAAATACTTCTTCCTTCATGCCTGTATGACCCCGTTACGTTCATTCATGCAGGCCCAGTCGGTACAACTACTGGTTCGGCCTACCAGCTACAGGGCCTACCGTGTTTGACTGCTGTGCTGATTTTCTTCAATGCCAACTTTTATCTCAACGCCTCCCCACCCCACACATTCACCGTCTTTCATTTATATTTCTGAATACTACAACTATAAAAGATTTTTAACATTTCTTTTTTTTTTTTACTACCGAATTCCGAGCTTTCAAAATACAAAATCGGGTATTCTCAGTGTTTATTTATAACTTGACAAAAAAATTGTTCTTAAATATTTCATTCTCACGCATACTCAATGTGTGAGTTGGGTAAATATTAAAGCCACGCAACTCTACCTTTCAAAGGCGATTCATTCTTAGACGGGAAGTGACGGTTCTTAGAAGAGTACCTCCTTATAACTATTAATAATTTTTAAAATCCTCTTTTTGTGTGTGTGTGTGTTTTAAATGAAAATACCATTTGTTTTATTTTATCTAAAAGGGGTCTAAAAATTACAAAAAATTAATTATCTGAATATATTCCTGTTATTAAAATTTATATATTTTTTAAATTGAATCTGTATCTCAGTTTAGTAAACAAAGATGTGAACCAAAGCTAAAGCTGTAATAATCCCATACCGAATTTTTCCCAAAGAGTAACAGACCGATATGAGAAATGAACTGGGACGTCCAAGTTAAGGTTACACCGCCCCCTTTCCCTCTCCATATTCCCTTGTCATCCCCCACCCCCTACCTAGTATGCTGATTGTAACTAAATCCCATAGTTGATGTTCGCCAAGGGGACGTAAACCTGCGACAACACCAGCAGTATGCTCTTGCATACATTACTCCGCATTACCGAATTTTAATTGCCCCTCTTGTGTGGTCGCGGTACAATTTCGCCCCAAGCGCTTGGGTTTTTTTTTACTATTATTATTATTTGAATGCAAGTAAGAAATGACATGAGATTTCGTGTTTTATTGTTATGCCATAATTAATGTCGCGCTGGTGCATTGTCTCCCCTCTCTCTCCCCGCTCCCTGTACATTCTTTTGTTTTCTTCTTGGAGATTTCAATGTAGGGGCATGTCATGGCATTAAAGATAGATTTTAGCATTGTTCACTGAGTATGTATATATATATATATATATATATATATATATATATATATATATATATATATATATATATATATATATATATATATATATATATATATATATATAAAGAATGTATGTATAGGTAGCTGAGGATACCGTGACTGGCGACATGGACACTAATCCCCGAGAGAAAAACACGATACGCGTAGACGTGTAGCACATGTTAGAACGACCCCCTCTCCCCCCTCCCCCGGGCACACAACCGTTATCTGCCGGGCCCATCAGTCAGCCCGGGGATGACTTTGTCCAGTGCAGACCCTGGCGTGGACCACCCACTCGACAGCACTGGCCGCCGGAGACATGTTTGGTCAAGGCTGTTTGAACAACTGCGGTCTGCGGTCACTCACTTGGCGGAAGTGGTTTTTAAGGCAAACCAACTTTCAAATAAATGATATGCGATATGGTATATATATGGTATTTATGGTATATATATGGTATTTATGGTATATATATGGTATATATATGGTATATATGGTATGTGGTATTTGTGGTATATGATACATGTTAGAGATGATATAGATGTGATGATAAGATGGCCCTAGTGGGCTGTACAATTATAAGAGCGAGCGAGCCTGTATGCCGAGTGTATAAAGAATTGTGTGCCTGATGCCATAAAGGACCCACAGCTGCGGCCGGTGCCTGTGGCTTGAATGGGGAAACTTGTTGTCACCCGCGGTGGTCCAGTCCTTGTCCTAGCCCAGGGACAGGACCGTCATTGTTGAGAGGGGGGGGGGGCCTGAACCCACATGAGGGCATTCGGTGGGAGTGGCTGGGGCTATTCAACGGTCGAATAATAACTCGGGGGTGGGGTGGGGGCGGCCGAAAACATCGTGGGAGATCGCGAGGGGTGCAAACGGTGAACTCTAATGTGGTGTCCATTCAGCTCTGGTGCCAGGGCGTGACCGCGGTACTATTTTCCAGATGTTGGGTGGGGGAGGGAGGGGGGGGGGGGGGGGGGGCTCGACCTCCAAGTATTTGAAGTAGCTTTTGAACAAGATCTCTAACAATGCAATAAAAACGTAGTGCGCATTTTCATGAATTTATTTACAATTTACCCTAGTCACAAAAATGAAATTTTAAAAATCTTTTTTTTTTAATTATATAATCAGCAGACGCTGATTTTCTGTTGTAGTATGGGACATAAAATGAGGCACAATAATTCCTTTTGACGTGTAACATCAAGTTTAGACCTTATATTCATCATTCGTGTCTTGGTTAAGTTTTTTTAACACAACCACGAAACCCGAGAGTGCATCCAACGTCCCCCCAGCCTCCCCACATTGGTTTACTGTTCCCGTCCTCCCTTTGCCTTAGGCTTGAAACAGCACAAGCGGCTGACGACTTTATTGCTGTTTGCTTGTCTTATTTATTATCTTTTTTTTTTAATTCTCCCCCTGTTGCATGCAAAACTTCATTTAAATATCTAGTGTATACGTCATACTGATCACGTGACCGTTTATATTAAAATCGTCTGTGTAATTTGCGATGACTGTCCGACCCTTGCTCCACCAAGTCATCGGAATCTCGTTTTTACTTTACCGGAATATTAAAGTCAATTTATTTTAATTTTTTTATAGCCAACACCGTTTGACGCTTTAAAAAAATGTTACATTCCTATTTTCCGTGTAAAGTGTAGCAAGTGATTCGACTGACATAAAAATATCCGCTGGCTGTATTTGTTCAACCTGCTACACTGTATCAAGTCCCTCCAGCAGTGTCGTGGTTGTTTGAATATTTCCTGTCGTGTCCCCGCCGTGTATATTGATACAGAGGCGGTGCCAACATGACAGTGTGAGGACCTCTAACCCAACAAACAGGGGATTAGTGCTGGCTGTTTCGTGACTTTGAATTGGTCCTTCAGCCGAGTCCAGACTATTGGTCCTTGGATTGAAAACTTAGTGGTATTTCTTATCTTGCATTGGTCCCTTTGCTAAGTCTAGATATAAGTCCCTAGATCGTACCAACAGAAAATATTTCGTAACTTTGAATACGTCCCTTTATTAGGTCTAGATATAAGTCGATTGTAAAACAGATGGTATTTCGTAACTTCAAGTTTGTCCATCCACCTGATCTAGATATACGTCCCTAGATTGTAACAACCGATGGTGTTTCGTAAATTTAAATTGATTCCTTTACTAGGTCTAGATATAGTTCCTTAGACTGTAACACCAGATGGTATTTCGTAAATTTAAATTGGTCCCTCTACCCCAGGTCTAGATATAGGCCCCTAGATCGGTAGACTAAAAACTATCCCAACACCCCTCTACAGTCTCTACACCAGGTCTAGATACAGGTCCCTATATCGGTAGACTAAAAACTATCCCAACACCCCTCTACAGTCTCTACCCCAGGTCTAGATACAGGTCCCTAGATCGGTAGACTAAAAACTATCCCAACACCCCTCTACAGTCTCTACACCAGGTCTAGATACAGGTCCCTATATCGGTAGACTAAAAACTATCCCAACACCCCTCTACAGTCTCTACCCCAGGTCTAGATACAGGTCCCTAGATCGGTAGACTAAAAACTATCCCAACACCCCTCTACAGTCTCTACACCAGGTCTAGATACAGGTCCCTAGATCGGTAGACTAAAAACTATCCCAACACCCCTCTACAGTCTCTACCCCAGGTCTAGATACAGGTCCCTAGATCGGTAGACTAAAAACTATCCCAACACCCCTCTACAGTCTCTACCCCAGGTCTAGATACAGGTCCCTATATCGGTAGACTAAAAACTATCCCAACACCCCTCTACAGTCTCTACCCCAGGTCTAGATACAGGTCCCTAGATCGGTAGACTAAAAACTATCCCAACACCCCTCTACAGTCTCTACACCAGGTCTAGATACAGGTCCCTAGATCGGTAGACTAAAAACTATCCCAACACCCCTCTACAGTCTCTACACCAGGTCTAGATACAGGCCCCTAGATCGGTAGACTAAAAACTATCCCAACACCCCTCTACAGTCTCTACCCCAGGTCTAGATACAGGTCCCTAGATCGGTAGACTAAAAGCTATCCCAACACCCCTCTACAGTCTCTACCCCAGGTCTAGATACAGGTCCCTAGATCGGTAGACTAAAAGCTATCCCAACACCCCTCTACAGTCTCTACCCCAGGTCTAGATACAGGTCCCTAGATCGGTAGACTAAAAGCTATCCCAACACCCCTCTACAGTCTCTACATTAGGTCTAGATACAGGTCCCTAGATCGGTAGACTAAAAGCTATCCCAACACCCCTCTACAGCCCCTGCCTGTACTAATCTCAGCCTAGCTTTGTCCTTGCACGGGCGAAACACACCTGATCCATCGCAGGTGAACGCGACTCACGTGACTTTTGTTTATGTTTTCCATGTTTGAACAAGGTCAGTTTTCCAACCCGAATCGAACAATTTTCATTACATAGACAACAACGTAACCATCAGTCTATTCTTATGTGTAAATAAAAAATGTTCTTAATCAAAGATTCGAAACTCTTTATCGACGTCATATTCACTTTTTTGGGCGGTTAATGACGTCATCGTTACCTTTGACTCTACCCATCACGCTGCTAATGACGTCAGTGATGGAGGCTTTTATTTCTAATTCATTTCTAAGATCGCATTACTTTTAGCTGGGATAAATTTAGGGGAAGACCTCCCACGGCGTATAACACACATACTCTAAAACATACCCCCACCCCCGCACACACACACACGCTCCCCCACCTCACCTTCTACGTTTGAGGCGCGACCACCCACACGGCACTGAAATTCAACTGCTCGTCGTGTATTTGCACGGCATGAGCGCTCACTTCTGCTGTTTGGTCTACGGCATGTCCCCTCCCTCCCCTACTCCTCGCACACACACACACACACTTTCACGCGCGCTATTTTTAAACACACCTACAAATAAAATTACTCCACCTTCAAAGCGTAATAACTTTCACTTCTCTTGTTCGATGTTCACACATTTTTCTTCAAATTGACCGTAATCTAATGCCTGTAAAACACTTAAACACTGTCAGGAGCAGATTGTCATACCATTGGCGGTCCAATTGTGGCACTAATTTTAAGCCGGTCTAAAGTCATGTTAAGTACAGCCTCCATCCCCCCCTCCCCCCCCCCCCCCCCCCCCCCAACAACAACAACCACAACATATCCTGGCTATTTTTACAGTAAAATTAGACGCTTTAATCAAATCTTCTGATATGGACTGGCGTTTTCTCCCAATTCCCTCCATTTCAACATTCTTTACGACCAAAGTTTCGTGGTTCACGTGCAAAATGAGAGCTATGTTAAATAAATCTTTGTGTGTTTGATACAACTTCGACCACTCACTCGTGAGGGTGGTGTGTGATGGCGCTATCTTTTATTATTTAATTGGCGTCTGTATACACTGGTTATAGTTTAATCAACTACTACAGATAGCATGACTTAGGACGCTGTTGTATTATTAATGTTTACAAAGATAATCGCGCGATTTCTACACGGGAAGCGTAAAATGAAAATAAACCAATGGGAGAAGAGATCGTTTTAATTAGGTCTGTCTGGCCTGTGGTGGTCAGATGGGGGGGGGGGGGGGGGGATTTTGATGAAAGAGTTGCCTGCCGCCCATGGGAACCCCGTCTAGACGGAAAGGTCAGGATCTTTGGTGGTCCTTGGGAGGGGCGGGTCAATTCGATGGTGTGGTCAATCTATTAATTAGCCTTCGGTAACGAGCTCCGCCGCGCACCGCGTTGGTTGTTGGCTAATGAGGTTTGGTATTTAATTAACTCGTGTGTTCATCATACTTTCATGAAGGGAGAATTTTTTTTTGTTTTTTTTTCCTTTGAAGATGTTTTGATTTTTTAATTTTAACTAACACCAGACTCAGAAGGCCTAATCGAAAGAAAACGACTTCAATAAACACAATGTGCATTAATACACTTACACATTAAGATTTTTTTTCTTGCCTTTTGGCTTTAGATAGGTAATAACGATAATTGCAGGGGAGGGGTGGGGCATTCAAAAGTCTCCAGAAACGCGAGGTTCGGCTTCTTCATCTCTTCCGTTTTTACGAGCCAACCAAGTTGTAGCTTTCATGTTATGGCATTTCACCGTTATCGTCTAGACTTGGTCACGTGATAACCGTCAATAAAATACTGCCCTCTGGGGAGGTAGAGCTCTACAGGCCAGGCTGGTCTTTGTGGGTGAAGGTCAGACTGGAATGACCATAATTTTCTACAACCTTTGCATGTTTTATCTGTTGCTTGAAGATGTATACACGAGTTATCTTTATACGAACCCCCAGTATGTCTTTATACACGCCCACCATGTCTTTATACAAGTCCATAATATGTCTGTATACAAGCCCACCATATGTCTTTATACAAGCCCACCATATGTCTTTATACAAGCCCACCATATGTCTTTATACAAGTCCACAACATGTCTTTACACAAGCCCACCATATGTCTTTATACAAGCCCACCATATGTCTTTATACAAGCCCACAATATGTCTTTATACAAACCCACAATGTCTTTATACAAGCCCACAATATCTTTATACAAGCCCACAATGTCTTTATACAAGCCCACAATATCTTTATACAAGCCCACAATATCTTTATACAAGCCCACCATATGTCTTTATACAAGCCCACCATATGTCTTTATACAAGTCCACAACATGTCTTTACACAAGCCCACCATATGTCTTTATACAAGCCCACCATATGTCTTTATACAAGCCCACAATATGTCTTTATACAAACCCACAATGTCTTTATACAAGCCCACAATATCTTTATACAAGCCCACCATATGTCTTTATACAAGCCCACAATATGTCTTTATACAAACCCACAATGTCTTTATACAAGCCCACAATATGTCTTTATACAAACCCACAATGTCTTTATACAAGCCCACAATATGTCTTTATACAAGCCCACAATATCTTTATACAAGCCCCTACATCTTTTATTAAACCCACGCAGTTTAAATCAGCTGATAACATATAAAGGCGGCCCCATGTGTCTTTGGCATAAAAATGAAAAGATGATGATGAAATAAAGACTTACCATTACAATTTGTGTAAATACCGAGTTAACTTTTGCTATTAACATACGGGTTCTGACAAGAGTTTCAACAACTCGCTCTGTAAGTTAAAGCTTGAGGCTAAACTTGATTGAGAATTCAAAATATGTTGAGCACATTCGTCCGGGACTCAATAACCAGCTCAGCGGCTCTCAAAATAATACTTTGTATGTTTGACACGTATGTATTTCTCTTCCTACAGTGGAATAGCCGATATGCCCACGTACATCACGTGGGAGAACCTGGACCCACAAGGCATCTTGAAGAAACTGGAGCGCATGCAGAACCGCATCCCAGTCAACGCTATGAAGGATGTCTTCCAAAGAGTAAGTCCCCTTAGCTTTTCATAGACCCTATTTGGATGACTGAACATCATCTTACAATGGCTTCTAACATTGGTCCATCCACCAAGTCCAGACTATTGGTCCTTGGATTGAAAACTTGCCGATATTTATCAAGTGGTTTCTTCTACAGGCTGGCATCACCACGGCTTATCAAGAGAAACCCTGCCTAAATCCAAAAGACCCCGACTGTCCCAAAACTGCTGTCAACTACAACTCCACCGTAAGTCACGCAAGAATATTTCACTATTTTTGTTTGTTTCGTTTATTGTCTTCTCCTCTCTGGCCATCCTTAAATGTTAGCAGCTCATTGTCCGGAGTTATGTGTTGATTTACCTAGAGTGTCTTCTAACTATATTTTCTCTGCATTGGGTTTAATTAATGATGCAAAACGCTAGAGCCTGTTATCAAATTCTACATGTATCTTACCTGTCTCCTACCTGTCTGCAACAGGTTCCAGATCTAGGTACCGAGTTCACCAAGGGATGTACCGGTTTTGCCACTAAGTACATGCAGTGGGAGCATGACCTCATTTTTGGGGGTGTCAAGCGGAACAAGACTGGTCACATAGTCAGGTGAGTTGAAGAGTTACAGTTAATGTTAGCCACACAGGTGAGTTATAGAGTGTTACGGTTAAGGTTAGCCACAGTTGGGTAGTGTTACAGTTAGCCACAGTTGGGTAGTGTTATGGTTAGCCACACAGGTGAGTTGTAGAGTGTTGCAGTTAAGGTTAGCCACAGTTTGATAATGTTATTGGTAGCCACAGTCTAGTAGTGTATGACCTGGCCCACACGCAGCGTGTATGACAACTTTGACAAGACTCACACCGAGTGTATGACAACCCCCACACGGTTTATGACAGGGCCCACACGGAGTGTATGACGGAGACCACACACACTTGACCCACACAATGTATGACCTGGCCCACACGCTGGGTGCATGACAGGGCCCACACGGGGTGTATGACGGAGACCACACACGATTTCTCACACAGCCTTGCTAAAACCCCCTCCCTTTTTTCCACGCCAAACTTTTCAATCTACCGCTCTCCTTTTGTTTACCACAACACCTAAAGGTAGTGGCCAGGTCACTTATCTTGAAAACTCCCTACTGTAAAATTGCCACTTAGGATGAGGGCGTGTGTAAAATTAATGTAAAGGTCAAAGGTAAACATTTTTTTTCCTATTTTTTTTTCTGTGAGACCCGCGAGCTTTATCCAGTTTAGAGGAAGGCTTCAGCAATAACTTTGCGTTTTAAGGGAGTTTACCTAATACGTTTGCTTATTATTTTAACTGCAGGCATATATTATTGTTTGCAATGCAAATCCCTCAACTTAATTCAATTAAGATTACCAGTCCTAAATTCTTAATCTAAAAACTTGAAAGTTAAAACTGATGTAAATTTTTAGTTTCTATAAAATCTTTAATCATTTTTCTTACGTTCCTATCTTGTGAGCCTTGCAGCCAATTGTGTATAAGGTTTTCTGTCTTGCCCCAATACTGTCACGTCCTGACTTATTTCTTGTGTAGAGTTGAGGCCCTGCAGTCCATTGTCCAACTGATGGCCGAGAAGGACCTCTACAAGTACTACGAGGATCACATCAAGGTCTCTGGCATAGACTGGACCCAGACCAAGGCCAAGGCTGTGTTGGAAGCTTTCCAGAGGAAGTTCTCCCAGGTATGTCCAGGTTGATGGTGTGGTCCAAGATATAGTTGGGGTTGTGGTTGATGTTGTGGTCAAGGTTATATTTGATGTTGTGGTCAAGGTTATATTTGATGTTGTGATTTATGATGTGTTCTAGGTTATATTTGATAGTGGTTGATGTTGTCAAGGTTATATTTGATGTTGTGATTTATGATGTGGTCTAGGTTATATTTGATAGTGGTTGATGTTGTCAAGGTTATATTTGATGTTGTGATTTATGAAGTGGTCAAGGTGATAGTGGTTGATGTTGTGGTCAAAGTTATATTTGATGTTGATGTTTTTGTGGTTAATTTTATAGGATTCTCCCATTCAAAATGTTCACATTTGTGACTATTGTTCATTAATATGTACAATGCTCACAAAGAGTTTAAATACTTGTACTGTCTTTCTGTGTATTGACCTGTCCCTGACACAACCTGCACCTGTTTTGATGTACCACCTCCAGGTTGTCAACAACTACGGCAATGACTCCAACAAAGACAACCTGTACGGCTTCTCATACACCTCTCTGATGGACATGATGAAAGATTTCTCCAGCATCAGCGTGACAAGAGTTGTCCTAGGCTATGTCCTAATGGTCAGTTATCTTTCCTTCGTGTAGCTCTTCATTTTTCAAAGTTTAAAATGTTCCAATTGAGTGATTGACAATGTGTTTAATTGACAGTTTGTGTACGCCTGTGTCTCACTGCTGCGCTGGAACGATGCTGTCAACTCCCAGAGTGGCATTGGCATGGCTGGTGTCATTCTCGTGTCACTGTCAGTGGCAGCTGGCTTGGGGTTTTGTTCTGTCATTGGCATCAACTTTAACGCATCCACCACTCAGGTACGACAACGCTTCCTTTAACGTTAACTTAGTTCTTTATTTAATTCAAGTTATCACTTCATATTCATGTATTGTGGATCAATTCAAATTTTCAAAATGATTCAACTGGCCTACATGTCCCTTCTCTTCAGATCATTCCATTTCTGGCACTGGGTCTTGGCGTAGACGATATGTTCCTGATAGCCCACACCTTCTTTGAGAACGGGGACCATGTACCTTATCATGTAAGTCGGGTGTTTACGTCTGCTTGTTTACAGCCCAGGTTGTGTGGACCCCTGTTTATAGCCGGCCACCTGTTCATGGCCATTCTTCATCTTTTCTCCTTGGCCAACCTGTCAAATATGCTGCGAGAAGTTTAAACTGCAACTTTTATACACATAAATATACAGATACAAAACACGTACAGCAATATATATATATATATATACATGTATATAGTCATATTTCTAAAGATGTATGTTTTAAATTTAACGAAAAATGATAGCCAGGTGTTGATAAATGTGAAAAATGCCAGAATGTCTATCTGGCCAGGTGATAATGTAGTTATTGGATCATAAGAAATTATTCTACATCCGAGCCAGATTTGTAATTTACATAAGACGTGGCCCTGGAATGAAGGGTTTTGAAAATGGAAGAAAAAAAAAGTAGCACAGTTTGAACTGGGGTGGGTCTGGTTTGTGTTAAGTCAGGTCCTGCTTGAAACAATCAATGTGTTATTGTCACGGTGGAGGTGTGCGTGGCGCCTCCACCCCACGGGAGGTCAGTTTGTTGCGCTACGGGGACTAACACGGATAGGTTTAAATATATCGGCGTTAGTTCCGCATCTGTACAAGAACCCTAATGTAATGCGGATGTCCGTTGGTGCAAATAACAAGCAACAGACAATTTAATAACATATTTCTTTGTGAAATATGGCGGACCAGCGTTAGATAAATTATTTTTAAGTTCAGCAGTTTTGTAATCGGAATTTTTGTCCTTTGGTCGTATTTCAGCCATATGATGAAGTTTGGATCAAATGTTGGCTTAGGGTCACTTAGACATGGTTTAGCCTTGAACTATGTGTTTATTAAAAGGATATCTGTATTGAGTCCTACGGTATAAATTAAGTGGTTGGTTGAAATAATACCAAGAACTGTTGTTCAGAAATTTATCCAACAGCCCCATCACAAATTTGGATTTACCTAAAACTTTCAAATTTTATTTTTTTAAAATGTTTAAACAGTTGATTTAGAAAACCTCACGTTATGAACCGAAATACGGTTTTAAAAAACCAGCTTCCGGTCCCAGTGAGATGCTGTTATACAGCACATTGTTGAGGTGACACTAAAAAACAGCGGTCGTGGAGCCCCCGCCCAACGATGGGACCCCCACCCCAACGATGGGACCCCCACCCCAACGATGGGACCCCCACCCCAACGGCTGCACATCCGCCAGTTTAAAATTTCGAGCGCTGCGGCGATGTTTAAAAAAAACGAAAAAGAAAACCTCCCATAAACCAGCATTGTCGCCTTGAAAAGAGCCTCCGTGGCCGATCATTCTGTATTAGAAGTGACGTAATTATAGAGTTTGGGGCGCCCTTCTGGTTATCTTTCTTATAAAAGGGAGACTAGCGAAGGGGAAAGCTATATCTTTATTCTGTGGGTAGGTCTTTTTTTACAGGAGAGATTTTCAGTGATGTAAAAGAAAACGGGTTAATTAAGCTTTCCATTCTAGACTATATATTTTGTGTGTGTGCATATTTATATATATGTATATACATATGGACCCACACACAAAATGTATAAATACATGCTATTTTTTTACTTGGTGTAAACGTGTTAACGATAAATGACTCGCGTTTAGCAAATGAGCGTTGCGCGGCGTTTGTCAATTAAGTTTGTTGGTTATCTTGTACCGTTTTTTAACATAATATTTATAATTTGTTTTACACACTGCTCCGAGACTAGTAGGCAACCAATCCCAGGAAGCGATTAAGATACGCGATAGCCTTGAAGTCGAGTTAAAAGTGCGTCGTTGAAACTTGAAATGCCACGATTACCCCCTCGCCAGCATCCTCGGGTTAGGATGCCGATGAGATGTTGGTGTATATCGACGGTGGCGTTCGGAAATATTGTCGGAGTTTGATGTCTGCGCGAGGTAGACTGTAGACAGGCTAGGGAAACACGAGGTGATGTGATAGTCTTAATACCAAGCCTGGGGAGAAATGGGGTGAAGGGTAGAGAGGGGGGCGTTGGAGGAATGGGGGAGGGGGGTGTTGTGGGTGGGGGGGGGATGCGAAAATAAATGGTGTACCTCAAGACTGGAATAGTCTTTAAGAATGTAGGCATGTGTATTGGGCAATGATTACAGAGGGAGAGGTCTTTAATGTTGAAATGTCAGGAAGTTTAAGAGCCAGCCAGCTCCGGCTAGGTTTTCTGATTCATGTTTTTTTCTGCTGGGTACCGTTCTGTTAGCAGTAAATGGGAGGGGGGGGGGGGTAGGGGGTGGTTGGCGTGGAATGGGGAGTCTTAGCATTTCAAGTTAACGGTCGAGTTAAACGTTTGTGTGGTTTTACGAATGGGGCTAAACCTTGACGGGGTGCGTGTATTGGGTTAAACCGGTTGTAACGAATTAGGTTAAACCGTAAGATAGTTTGACTTGATGTAACAAAAGCTGTAAAAGGTCAAGAAGATTCAAATAGAATTGTTTTATTTTAATTACATCTGGAGAATGTACTCAGCTGACTCAGCAAAAAAAAAATCCTACATATCATGAGAGAAAAAAAAACCGGTATTAATTAATTAACTTAATTAATTCATCAGTGTGTTGGGTTTTTTTTAAGTATTACTTCTACATATGCGTGTTCTATAGACGCTTGACTGAGGCTCATTGGCTGCACAGAACGTCTTGTTGTGTGGGTCTTCAAAGGATCTTGGGTTCCTCAACAACCCTACCAATGTTTTACGTAATATAAACAAAGTACAGTTTGGATAGCGCGAAACTTGGGGATTCAAAGAAAAGTTTTAATGAATTCAGTCTTGGTGCTAGGTTTTTTTTGTGGGATGGACGGGGAGGGAGGGAGGCCACTGGAGGAACAGGGTGTGAGTTGGGTTTTTTAACTAGCTCTTGTATAATGAGCACCTACCTTTAAAGCTCTTTTGTTGAATGGTACGTCACCGCAAGACGAGCTGGTGCCTGTAAGTGCACCGGATCTGAACCGAGCTCGCGGCGAGAGATCGCCTGTCAGCGCAGAAAGCCAAAAACGAATGACCCCCAGCGCCGAGACAGTTCATTTGAGTTTCAGTCTCGGGTGTCGGGGAAGGCTTCTTTTGTTCCCTCGGGTCCGCCTCGACAGTGATTCATACAATCAACTTCCCTCTCCTTGCCCCCATCAGTTTCTTAGGTACCTCTTTCATGAAATGGGAGATAGAAGGGGTGGGGAGGGCGCCCAGTGAAGAGGCTATGAGCGGGAGGATATGTATTTGCATTAGAGTGTTTACTCTAGCGCCACCCTTTCACCTTATCGTTCTACCCGTCCCCCCTCATTTCCCCGTGTGTTCCCCCTCCCCAGTCTTAAATTTGTCCATATCTGAGAAAGTATTGAAACCGCAGCATCTAAACATTTTGATTGACCTTTTATCTTTATTGGTGTCAAATTTTATCTTTCGTATTGCTTAATTTCTCAGGCTTGTATATAGCTTAGATATAAAGATGTATCTCTCTTTTTCATTGTAATGTGTGCATCTAGGGGCACTAGCTCACCATATATATATATATATATATATATATATATATATATATATATATATATATATATATATATATATATATATGATATGTACTTTTGCTTAGAAAGTATTGCTGTATACTTTTTGTGTAAAAAAAAAAGTTTTGCTGTACAAATTGTGATTCTGTATAGAATCAGCCAACTGACAATGTCCCTATGCCCTATACTGCTATGATTTCGAGAAAAGAAGCCTTATTGCTCCCAATTTTAAATTACCACCTCTCTTAACACCAATCTTTTAACACTTTTTGTCTCTCTATTTCTGAGATCATCAACAGCCCACCCCTCCACCAGCACCCCACCCCCTTCCACCCATTTTCCCCCTTCCACTTACTTGCTATCTGTTCAACGTTCACCTTGCTATACGCACCTTTTCACTTTTCGTTCTTTCCATCTCTATTTTAGCCAAATTATTTTGCCCCTTCTTCGTTGTTGGCAAAATACTTTCGCCTTGGGTGGTCTCCCTTCAGCGCTGAACAAGGGGGTGGGGAGCGGCGGGCGTAGTGTGCAGTGGTGGAGTCTAGTTTATCAGCAGTATAAAACTCGGCCTCCATGATGTGCAGGCTAAATCTGTCGAGTACAATACTACACCTAGATTCATCCTCGCCCCCTCTCAAGTCCCGAGTCTCTAGTACATATTTTAAATGTTAAAACATAGACATCCTTTATTTTCACGCTAGATGTAGGCAAGATTGGAAACCGTGTTTTTCTCTGCTAATTGCTTTTCTGAACCAGCAGAAATAGAACAGTTTTTTTTTTTACGGGTGCTCGCAGTGTTATTTTACTTTGAACGTATTGTATTTTTTTACCTGCTTGTTTTTTTTTACCAGTATTAGTTACCCACAAAATATCTGGAACTAAAATGTATATTTTTTAAAAACTTTTCTTTGCTGTACGCTTTCACCTGACCAACTTGTCATTCAAGTATTACTGAGTGAATGTAGCCTACTTGTTGGAAATAATCTTGGATGAATACGTCGTTGTTTTTTTTTTTCAAATTCGGGTATTGTTGGTACAGTCGTCCGCTAATAGTTATAGTTTAGCTTAGTAGGGTTAATTTCTACAGAGGTAATCAGTGATGGCATAGGATAAATAAGGCCAAACCGTTGCTTGTAGTATTGACTTCTAACACTAAACAGTCATTTGATTGTATTAACATACGGCTTCTTCAATGAGACTGATAATTAGATACACAGATGTGATTTTACCGGTTATGTTGTGGTGGGGAATATGTTAACAGGTATAACAGAAACGGTCTTGTAATGCAAGTCTGGTCACATATCGCTCAATATGTTTCATACAAATGCGCGCTTTAATAATTCATTATTCAGGACCCTTAACTCTGTTACATAGATCAGAAAATTGTCTCCCTTGATTTGTTTTTTATGGGTAAGACACGAATAATTAATGAGATTCAAATTGAAAAGGAAGTTGTTAATAAAACTGTTGCCAAGAAAA